GATGGATGGTTCGATGTTCATGTATTTTTAAAAAAAATTGAAGGATGGATGGTTCGATGTTTCCAACATGAGACTGATCCCTACACATTAAAAATTAAAAAAAAATAGTCTAATATTTGGACCATTAGACTTTAAAGGAAAAAAAGGTTAAAAGAAAAGGTGAAGTATTTTTAGAAAAATCATCACTCTCAGGTTGTAAATATCGAACATGTATACTTCTCCATAAATTACCTATAAATTTGGATTACCATATTTAAATATAATACAGGCACAATTTTTCCTCTCTCGTACTAGCCAAACTGCCTGAAAAATAGTTAATGTTCACATTTGACAAACATTTCATAAAGAAAAAAAGAAAAAGAAAATAACTAATGGTCACATTTGACAAGCATTTTATAAAGAAAAAATGTTTATACAAGGTGCACCTTAAAAATCCATTAATAAACACATTAAAGGTCTAGATAATGTGTAGAATTAACATGCACCTTAAAAATTCATTAATAGAGGCTTAATCGATCATCTCCAAATCGAAATGTATGGATATAGGGAAAAAAAATTTCAAGTCTCAAAATCGTACATCTTGCGACACATTATCTAGACCGTCCATTTTTTGTTTTTCAAAAACCGAAATCTTTAAAATTTTTGGTTTTTCAAAAACCAAAAGTTAAGAATTTTGAATTTTTGAAAAACCAAATATCTATGATACAAGCCGAACATTTTAGTGATAAGTTGTGGTTGGTGTGGTTTTCCTATGTGGTAGAAAAAGAGGTCTTGGCTTCCGTTCTTGGGGAGCTACTTTTTTAAAAAAAAACTCAAAAACTATGTCTTTTAAAAAAGGAAAAAATTTATATAAGGTTGCAACCTTAAAATGCAAATTACAGATGCACCTCAAAAATCCAGCGAAAAAGGTTGTTTTAATATTGAAAAATCTCGTAATTGATCATCTCGATAATAAGATGTATGAATATGAAAAAAGAAAAAGATTTTGGGTCTCAAAAATAGTTCATTTTGCAGCACATTATGGAGACTGTCCATTTTCAAAATTTTCATATGCCTATAGTTCTACTTGATGTTAACCATTCTTGAAGTTTAAAATTCTATAATTAGATATGAAAATAGATTTTTGTGATAATCCTAAGAATGCTTTAGACCCAAATTACACGTTACGATAAAATAATTTGAAGGTGCGCCTTAATTGGATTGTTTAAGGTTGCAACCTTATAGAAACCATATCCTTTAAAACATCATGTAAAAAGTTATCCATACTGGGCGTGTTTAACCAAAAAGAGACTTTTAGCACAACTGATTACATTTAAGCTATTAGAATAATTAAAGTAAGCAACTTCATCTTTTTTTAGGAAATGACTATAAATATTCGGATTTTTAAAAACCAAAAATTGTACAAATTTGGGTGTTTAAAAAATTGAAAATTTTAAAAATTTCAGTTTTTGAAAAACCGAAAATGGGTAGTTAGATCTTTTTTAGAAAAAAAAGTTATGAAGTTGAAAAAACAGACATATCTGTAATAACAGAAACTAAAAGGTATTTTTTAATAATAATAAATATAACAGATATTTATGTCATTTTTCCTTAAACTTTTAATAATTAAAAATAAAAACATATTTTCATATCATCCCAAGAATTTTTAAAACCAAAATTACAACAAAGTTTGGAGGTATGCCTTACATTGTCTAAAGTTGCCATCTCATACAAGTCGCATCCTTCCCTAAAATAGTTTATACTGATCAGCCTTCCCTATTTTGAGGCCGGTCGGCAAAAAAATTGTTTCTACGTCCTCAGGTAATCAACATGAAATGACGAAGCGCAACAAACAATGTCTAGAAAATAAAGAAGAAGATGTCTCACTGGTCCCTGTAAGTGTAGACTGTCCGGGCAGCCAAATTACACGGTTAAAAAAAAAAAATGTGTTTCTAGTGTTAATGTGTTATAATAAAAAAATTTAAATAGATCACATACATTAATTCACCATTGTTTGAAAACCCAAATCGGTATGTTAAACACCTGAAAACCGATTCGGTCTAGCAATTCGACCGAGAGAACCCACTAATAATAAAAAATAAAAAAAAAATTGAAAAAAAAAAAAAATTATAAAAAAAATATAATCTCATAACCACGTAAGCAACCAATAGATTCGCAACTCCTACCAACACACCAGTTCCTACCGATTCCCAGTCCAGATCAACTAATCTCAATCCAAATCATCTTTTCAAACAGTGCTTCTCACAATGAGAAGCTATCAAATGGCCAAACGGTCCACTGGGTCAGCCCAACCTAAATTACTAAGGCTAAGTCATACAATATAGCCCAAGAGCAAGTCGGGCTTGGACTTGGCCCATGTCGGAGCCAGCCTACTCCTCCAACCGCTGCCAGCCAGCTCAACAATTCATGCTCAAGCTAATAATTTCTTTAGACCTTGTGAGGCCTTCGTAACAATGTTATATCTCCTAAGATGTACTTTTCTAATATTAGAAAATGCTGTTTTAAGACCTCATTCCATCTTAAAAATCATTGAAGGGTTCAAAAGAATTGCTCAAGAACAGGTTACGCATTCTTCTTTTTTTTTTCTTTTTTTTTTTGACCTTTATTTAATTAAAAACACCTCCCCTAGCAATTCCTTCCAAAGTTGTATTCTAAAATGTACATTTCATATTTTCCAATGGAAAAATCTTGAAAACGCTTATAGACAAAGTGCTACAGTATTTCGCCACCATCACAGTCCGTGGCGGTTCACTGAACAGACCCACAACGGACAACATGCCATCCGTTGCAGTTCCACATGAATTTTTTACTGTTGCGGACCTAGCATGTCCGTGACAGTGTTGTCATGGACATGCTAGATCCATAGTGGTCTAAAAACGCGCTCTGTCTAATTTTTCAGACAATGATGAGTCTATGAACGAATAGATTGCTCATTTTCACCTGTAAACGATCTATAGTCTCTTCCTTTTCAAATTATTCAAATTATCCATGTCCAGGATTGAAACACAAAACAACTAGAAAGCATTTTGGTTGAAAACCACTTAAATAATACTCCCGTGATTATTTAGAACCTGCTCCCGTCGCTATTTAGAACATGCAAAATTACGCTACCAAGTGCCAATAAATAAAATTGCCATGGGATGAAATTTTTATAGGGCCTAGGCTTTACGAAAACAAAATAAAGCTTCACCTAAGATTTTCGTCTGGAAAACACTTTTGGCATCAAAAGTCATCATGACTCTACAATTCTAATTTCCAAAACCGACAATAAAAATTGAAACTCAAAAAATAATACAGATCTTACAAATACGAAAACTCTTTATTTCTTGGGCGAAATAAATAGTCTAGATGATTTATTACATATACACTTTTTTAAAATTTAAAATCCTAATTTTTTTGCACAACCATATCGTTCAAGTTGAGATGATCGATTTAAAAATTTTTGGACACTTGAATTATAATTTTTGATGAATTATAAACTGAAATTTAATTTATTTTAATAGGGCTGCTGCCCTATTAAACCATTTTTCATTACTATAACCCATAAATGTCCACGATTAGCAATAGGGATAACCTCCTAATTGTGAAAGGGGAGGGGGACAACCCTTAATCATGGGGATTAGCAATACGGCATAAAAATATTTGAATTTAGGTCAACTGTTTTAGTGACCCAAATTACTCAAAAGGAAAAAACTATTTATATATGGAAGACTATTAATCTTCTTCACCATTGTATATGAAAACAGTTCTATTGACCAAGCTCAAAGTTCAATAAAAAATTTCTAAACTTTTACACATCCAAACTATCAAATTTCTCCGGATAATTATAAGTAATCGTGACGTCGTTGCACCAAACCAAAAGTAAATGGTGTCATCCCTCACTTAAATACCATACCAATGTCTTAATCGTGTGCGACAGTCATTTGAAAATTATTCAACAATTTTCAGGACGTATCTTACAGGTTAAAAGTCTTTAAAAAGTAAAAATTGCAGTAATAAGTAATATCTATTTGAGCCTTGTAAAATAACTCTAGCCAATTAATGGTATTTTCGCGTCCTTCCCCAACAGAACCAGTTTCTAAAATCCTTGAGAAAATTTAGGAGACCAAGAGGATGCATTTCCATATTTGATTAGACAAAAGAGCCCCCAAATGAGGGAAACTCTTTAGGTATGGAATAAGGGAAAAGTTTATATAGAGCTGAAGCTCTAAACAATCAAATTGGAGCCTACCACAACGATTATGTTGTTTTGATGCCCAAATATCCTAAAATTGATCATCTCGACATCAAGATACATGGACATGAGAAAAAATTGAATTTTAAATGTCGAAAATAGTGTATTGTGTAATGTATTTTTAGACCGTCAATTTTCAACATTTTCAAGTTTTCATAGATCTGTCAATCTAAACTATTTTTTAACTTTTAAACTTTATAAATAAAAATAAAATTATATTTTACAGCTATCAGAAACATTTCCAGTATTAAAACCACATTTTTCAATACCATTTGAAGGTAAACTCTAATTTGATTACCCATGGAAGAAAGGTTTCCCATTTAATTTAATAATTCAGGCTAATCTCTCAAATAGAATCCATACTTTTGGACTCTTTTCGAGGCTATCACTGAGGATAATGATGCAAATCAAGATCTGGTTGCTATAAAATTTAAATTTTATTTTTGTTAATCGTAGCAACCAGACCTTGATCTGCATCAAAAAAATGAAAACATAGCATGATTTCTCGTATCAAATCCATGAGGAATGCCCACCCAAACAAAAGCATGAACACCACAGTTCAATTTTTCAGTAATTAAGCATCAATGCACTTAAAACATCTTATTAAGAGAACATTGAAATCCATCAAAGTACAGTACCAGTAGAAAATTAAGAAAGTGGCCACCACTTCTGAACACCACAGTTCAATTTTTCAGTAATTCAGCATCAATGCACTTAAAACATCTTATTAAGAGAACATTGAAATCCATCAAAGTACAGTACCAGTAGAAAATTAAGAAAGCGGCCACCACTTCTGAAACTCACTCGTAACCTCAGCTCGGTAACCACCTCAGAAATCAAAAGATCGCAACCAGCTCTGCCTCACCAAGAACATGTCCTCCGATCGAGTCCAAGAGCTTCTCTTTAGTCACCTAATCATAATAAACAAAATCGGCCACGGATAAGCACCCAAATGTGCAGACATTTATCGATATTACATAGATGAGGATGCATGCCCTTGACTAACAAGATACAAGCGTCAAATCTACTGATCCATTCTACTAATATCAAATTTAACTTTTCAGATGCTGTGTACACTGGTCACTATTTAAAGAAAGGAGGCGGCTAAATTCAGTAGCGGGCAATTGTTACTTTTGTAGGCAACAATAATAGAGAGTAGTAAGATTTCTACAGTTCAAGAGCTTTCAATAATATATGTCAAGAAATATCCGAAGTTCTATATTGTCAACCAGTTTTACAACAATCAGACCGACCACTGAATCAGTGTGAAAATCAGATCAAATCGGTTGGAACGCATTTTAGAAAGAAGGAAAGAAAAAAGATAAAGGAATAGATGTAATACTGCACAAATACTTAATGAATTACAAAATTTGCCCAACTTCATTTAACTCCTCGAACTAGTCCAATAGGCCAAGCCCGGTCGAACATCAATTTGGACTAATTCTCGACCAAACCTATTTTTATCTTGGACCAGTCTTGACAGGGCTCAATCTTGGTAACAAGGGCATCAACACGAGCGGAGACATTTTTCATGGTTCAACATGCACAAAGAATCCACAGACACATGCAAAGAACCATAGAACGTCAAGGTCACTTAGCAAAGAGGCAAGCCACCCAATCAAGCATATCTAAAAAGCCTTATGAGATCTAATTAAACGATCAATAATAACATTAAATCCCACTAATAAGTTCGACCAAAAGGCCCGTAACCCATCCCTCCATGAAAAGTTTTTCCGATACATGTTTGATTATAAACCACAGAGGATGACACTTTGAGAGAGATGGAGAAAGGGCTTGTTCATACCTTGTTGCCCAGATGCATCTCGTCGTCGAGTGCATAAAGCTTGAACTGAAATCTATGCCCATGAGATGGGAGCGGGAGCTTGAGGCCTCTCCATCCAGGCACCTTCCAGTCATTGTTCCCTTCCTTGATGCCCGCATACTCCCCCCCTTCTTCCTCCTCCCTGCCCGAGAAACCTTCCGGCAACCCTGCAATCTCAACACCATACATTGTCACCGTTGTGTACCAAGCTCCCAACGCCGAAACAAGAAAACCGCCTCAAATTCAAATTATGCCTTCAGAGTAGGGGGAATATTCACGACCACCCTGCAACTCAAGAGAGAAAGCATTAAGATGACCCCTGTTGCACATAGGAAAATGATGCACACTGCCCTTTGTAGATGTTTGTGTATTATTAAAACTATAAAGAGGGCTTTTGTCTCTTTATTATTTTCCATTATTTAGCATGTTTGATGCATCTGCTCTTGATAGATAATGGAATGGGAAATTTAGCAAAACATCCTTAACATACTACCCAATTAATATTTTGCTCATCTGTTAAAGCTTAACAAAATATGTCTGGTTGATGATTATATGCCTTTGGGGTTCTTTAAATTAAATAAAGAAAAAATAAGAGTCATTATGTTGAATAAAAATGTATTGAGAGGTTAAATAGTTCATCTATTGAGTATTGACTTTGATGAATGTCCTTAATGGCAAATAACAACTAGCATTTTGAACAAGTGCTCCTTGCAAAAACAATTTTAGAAAAACATCATTTAAGATGTAGAAACCCCTTACAATATCTATTAAGGGGCTAAATGATCCGGATAAGGGTTGCTCTTTTCATTATCATTCTCGGATTAGGGTTGCTCCTTTCATGATCATTTAAGTACCCCCTAAAAATGTGTTAAAAAAAATAATTAGAAAAAGGTTTCAAAAAGGTACCTCCTAAGAATATTAAAATTTCCTAAATTGCTCTTCTGAGGATTAGATAGCTGGAACAAATAAGGGCATTTCAATAACATGAGGTTTGTTAAGGTATACACCTTATGCTATACCAGTAAGGCACACGTCAAAATTTTGCCAAAAAGATGTAATTCCAATTCCAGAAACCTTACGATGCTTTGAAAATCCATTCAAGCTTAATTATGAAATTTAAAATCTCAAAAATTGTACAGACAGCGCATATCTATAATACTGAAAATCTTGAAAATAGACCGGTCTATATAATTTATTATAAAATGCACTATTGTTAATCTATAAACGCCTCAAAATTTTGAAAATAGATTGTCTAGATAACTTGTTACATATTACTCTTATTTATCCATAAGCATTTGAAAATCTTGCAAATAAAGGTCTAGATAGCGTTACAAGATAAATTGTTCTTGGGACTCAAAATTCTTCTTTTTTTCGTAGAATCTCTAAATCTTGGGGTTGAGATGATCAATTGAAATGTTTTCCAACTTCACACCATCTTTTCTACTGGATTTTCGAAGTGCGCCTTATTTCTATAGTATAAAGTTTTCTACGGTATAAGGTTGTAACCTCCTACAATAGTTTGACCCTCAATAGCACCAAGTAAGCAACGAAAAATACCACCATTTGTTTGGGCTAAAAAAAAAAATTGCGGGACCACAACATTATATAGGTTGTTTTTTTCTTCCACAACTCCCAAACACCCTCAGAACTTCAATATCCCTCACTGGTCCTTGTTAAGAACTTGAACATCCCGTTACTTTGTCAAAGCAAGAATGCTCCTTACTCTTCGTACTATCCAAGAACAAAGGCTATTTAGATTAGAATTTTTTTTTTTTTTTTTTTTTTTTTTGTAAAAAGGTTATGAAAAGTAAATATTGGGGGGGGGGGGAGGGAATATATTGGAGCCCTCCAACGACAACCTCCTTAAAAAAATATTTTAGCAATATTTCTTTTAATACTTCGATATTGCTTTTTATCATTTTCCCCTAATTCTTTATTCGTCCATTACTTTCCCTACACCCTAGTTTTAAAAAATTTTAAACCAAATTTTCATAGCCAAAAACTAGCTTCTTCTTTATAATCTCTTCTTGCCGTTTTTAAACTCAAAATACTCCACCCCCTTACTATTACTGTTATAAACGGTTTTTAAGGCTTGCCACTCCAACAAAATAAATGGAATAGAAAAGATGGAGAGGAGATGAAGGAACCAGTGAGTCCATAGGACAATGGGACCGTTAGGATCAGGAGCATCAATGTCTTGGATGACCAAGGCCAGGCTCTTTGTACCCTCGGGCACACCGTACCACTCCACCGGGGGCGAAATGTTCTTCTTAGCGCCCTGCCCCTCTCCCGTATACTTCCCGTATACGTTTGCCCGTATTTGGGCCGGGGAGAGTTGCGGGTCATGGTGACACGTGTCATGTGGCCTCTTCTTTATTGCCAAGTGAACGCTTACGTGGTAAGCTATAGAGCGATCCAGCATATAAATGGTGGTCCTGAGGGTAGAAACTGGAAATGTCGAGTTTGTAAGGGGTCAAAGGATACCTCGTTGATGCCTGAGATTAGTATAGAAAAGTGAGTTGCCTATGTACGTGAGACGGCTGTTTAATTATTTTCGAGTTTCGTTCGTTTATTAGATCAAGGAAAAAAACTTAAAAAAGGTTGACACCTTCAGTTATAGAATTTAATTGCACTATTAATTTTTTCATAAACTATTGTTTTGGTGTTGGAAAAATATTTAGTTGATATGGAGATATATATAAATATAAAGAAAAGAAGAGAGCTTAAGTATTAGAAATGGTATATCCTCCAACACAACAAGTGGTATATCTTGTAATATATTATCTAGACTATCTATTTTTAATATTTTATATAGATAAACAGTTACATAAGTGCGAAGCTCTAAGCAATCAAATTAGAACACATCTTAAAAATTTCACTAGAAAAGGTTGTTTTGATGCCTAAATATCTTCAAATTGATCATCTCAACCTCAATATGTATGGACATGAGAAAAAAATGGATTTCAAGTTTTGAAAATAGTGCATCTTGTAATGCATTTTTGGATTGTCAATTTTCAAGATTTTCAAGTTTTCATAGATCTGCTCGAACTACGCTATTTTTTAAGCTTTAAATTTTATAATTAGATATGAAAATATATTTTAAGGCTATCACAAAGGTTTCCAGTATTGAAACCACATTTCACGACATTATTTGAAGGTACGCTTTATTTTAGTTGTTTAGAGCCTCGGCTCTCTACAAACCACACCATTTTATATATTTATAGCCTTTTTTATTTGATTTTTTTTAAGTTTAAAATTTATAATTAGAGATGAAAGTAGATTATCGCACTATCCTAAAAAACTTCAATATAAAAAATACACCTTATAACAACGTTTACATACAATGAGACAATTTTTTAATACAACGAGGTCACAATTACTTACAACCGTCCGATGTAAAATCTGAAAGCTTAGTTGTGTCACAAAGTTCAAGAAATTTTCTTTTGGAGTTTGAGATTGGTCAATAAAATAAATGCAACCATCCGATTTCACATTCAGTGGTCAAGATTAATTGTGATTACCATGGGCCAAAGATAACGGTCTCATTGTACACTTTCCTTTACTTCAATATTAAAATTGCAACATTATGCAAACTACACCCTTAAATTTAATGGAAAATATTGCTATGTTACCCCAACAATATATAAGTTATTTGTGACCACACTTCTTAGCTGTTCGATCTGAATCAAATGGCTAAGATTGTTCATACCACAATGTCACGCCAAACGTTTTTTTATTTTTTACTTTTTTTCTACAAAACATTTTTTAATCAAATTTTAGGCATCCCATCATAAATTACGTTTATTTTGGTGGCCAAGGCGGTGTTCTCATTTACATAGTGCTTTAAGTTAAAGACGAGTTTCTTAATTTTTGCTTTTTATTTTTATACTTATTACCAACGTTCATTGCTGAGTGGTAATTTATATGAAAAATATGGAATTATGAATATTTTTCTCATATATAATGTTAAATAACATACTAATTACTTTTTAATTTTAATTCGATCAGATACTTTTTCAAGATTGATATCTCATATAATTCCCAAACAATTCAACTTGTCTCCTTTCACGACGGAGGAGAAGAGCTGTTAGGAAAATCTGCAAGTGTGATCTCTAAGCTATTTTCTATTTATACGTATTCAAAATATAAAAATTGAGTCTTTCGGTTGCAAGTATTTCGAAAAACTTTAACAATGATATCAAAAGCTAATTTTTCATATTTTTATTTCAGGTACCAAATAACAAGATGGTAGAAGATGAATTGAAGAATTTAAATAACAGTGAGTGCATTTTTGGAATTAAGGCTTCGATTAATAACACATATTCAACGTTGAACTTGGTTATGCAATCTTTGAAACAGCCATCCCATATTGTTCCGAGGAAGCTCAACTTAGACGATTAATATATTTTTTTTCTTTTTTCATACTTTTGCATGTCAATATAAAAATTCTTCTTTCCTTAGAGTGATGGTGAATTTATTTTCCTATAGTTCTAATCTAACTCCTTTCTACCTCACTATAATCAATTATAACTTTTTGGAATATATTCAAAGTTTATTTGAATTTGTTTAGCTCTAATTAGTATCGAATAGAAGAAATTACGTAGATTTGGATTAATCAAAGTCCCTCTCTCTTCCTTAATAATTGAATGTCGCCTTTTTTCAAATTGTTATTTCAAGAATAAAAATCTATCCAATTATAGATATATCAAACCACGTGCAACACATCGTGCATAACACTAGTGTATATATATATATATATATATATATATAACATATTCAATTATGATTCTTCATCTTCTACTTCTTCTGATTTTCATATCGATCAAATCCAAGATGATGATCTCATGTGGACAGACTCCTCTGACTCCACTAATAATTCAGATACAAATTCATCCAGCTCAAAGGATGATGATTGTAGTTGTCCAATATCATCACATAATGTTCACACACTTACACAAGAAGATAATTTCATTCTAGATATTATTGATAAAATTGTTGATCCAGAGGAAAAAAGAGCTGTCATTACTCAATTTATTAACATTACAAAAAATAAAGCAAAACCAATTCCTTTGAATAAAACCCCTGATGAATATAACTTTGCTTCAATAATGAAAAGGGTAAGTGATCAACATACTTCTCAACAAAAAGAACCAACCATTTCAGATCTCAAACAAGAAATCAAAGAAATAAAGACTGAAATAATTCAATTAAAAAATAGAATTAAATCATTAGAATTACAATAAATGTCTCAACAAGATTCAGATACAGATGAAATAGACTTTGATGAATTAATAAAAATTAATCCATCATTAGATATCCTTGAATCGTCAGAAGCCAAAATAATACCTCTTCCTTCTGTGAATCTAATAGACAAAATAGTAGTTCAAAAATGGTTTGTCTACGTTAAGATAATTGTTGCTCAAGATTATAGTTTTGAAACATCAACTTTAATAGATTTTGGAGCTGACTTAAATTGTATCAATGAAGGACTCGTACCCTCAAAATATTTTGACAAAACTACTCAAATATTGAATACAGCAGATGGGAGTAGATTATTTATTAAATATAAATTATCTAATGCTTCTGTTTGTAATAATCACCAATGTATAGATACATCATTCATAATGGTAAAATGATTAAGCCAAGCAGTAATACTTGGAGTTCCATTCCCTACTTTGTTATATCCTTTAACCATAAATGAAACAGGAATATCTTCAGTTATTCAAAATATTCCAATACACTTTCATTTCATACATAAACCAAAATTGACAGAACTCAATAGTGTCAAAAGTCAATTAAATAACAAAGAAAAATTTCTTTGTACTCTTAAACAAGAAATTAAATATAAAACTATTGAAGAACAATTACAAACTTCTTCAATACAACAAAAGATTCAAGCATTACAACAACATATAGAAACTTCAATATGTAGTGAGCATCCTAATGCTTTTTGGGAAAGGAAAAAGCATAGTATAAGTTTACCATATGAACAAAGATTTGATGAAAAACAAATACCTACAAAAGCTAGACCAATACAAATGAATACTATCTTATTAGATATGTGCCGGAAAGAGATTGATGATCTCCAACAGAAAAAATTAATAAGACCAAGCTCCTCACCTTGGAGCTGTGCAGCATTTTATGTCAATAAAAATGCTGAAAAGGAACGAGGAGTTTCTAGACTTGTTATTAACTATAAACCTTTGAATAAAGTCTTAAAATGGATAAGATATCCAATCCCCAATAAAAAAGATTTATTAGATAGAGTTGCTCAAGCATGTATCTTTTCCAAATTTGATATGAAATCGGGTTATTGGCAAATACAAATCCAAGAACAAGATAAATATAAGACTGCATTTAATGTTCCATTTGGACAATAGGAATGGAATGTTATGCCATTTGGTTTGAAAAATGCTCCATCAGAATTCCAGAAAATAATGAATGATGTTTTTAATGCTTACCATCATTTTATGATAGTATATATTGATGATGTACTAATATTATCGGAATCAATAGATCAATATATCAAACACATTAACACATTTATACATGCAGTCCGGAATGCTGGATTAGTTGTTTCAGCCAAAAAGATAACACTATTCAAAACCAATATAAGATTTCTAGGACATATGATTCATCATGGAACTATCATTCCCATCGATAGATCCATACAATGCGCTGATAAATTCCCTGATCAAATACTTGATAAAAAGGAACTTCAAAGGTTCCTAGGTTGTTTAAATTATGTTAATGATTTCTATCCTAACCTTGCTTTAGATTCTAAACCTTTATATGATAGACTCAAAAAGAATCCTCCACCATGGACCAATATCCATACCAAGGCAGTATAGGTAATTAAAAGCAAGGTAAAGACACTAGGCTGTCTCTCCCTACCTCATCCAACTGCTTTTAAAATCATAGAATGTGATGCTTCTGACAAAGGCCTCAGTGGTATTCTCAAACAAAGAATTGATTCTCAAGAACAATTACTTCGTTATACTTCCAAAGCTTGAAACACTACTCAATTAAATTATTCCATGGTTAAGAAAGAACTCTTAGCAATTGTCCATTGTGTTTCAAAATTCCAAAGTGATATTTTAAACCAACATTTTCTCATACGAACCGACTGCAAAGCAGCCAAGGATATTCTGCAAAAAGATGTTCAAAATTTAGTCTCTAAACAAATATTTGCTCGATGGCCGGCTATCTTATCCACCTTTGATTTTTCTATCGAACACCTTCCCGGGTCTTCCAATTCATTACCTAATTTTTTAACCCGTGAATTTTTGCAGGGGGGGCAACACTGACACAAACGACGAAGAATCACCCTTGTCCCTTGCTCTACAATTGTTCGCAGAAAATTAGAATAATATTAATATTATACCTTCACCTTATTATCCAATGGGTTCTCGAGGCACTTCT